CACAAAGCCTGGACTGTCTGGAATGACACAAATGGCTTAAAACTGGGGGCTCCCAGCTGCTTTCTCTCCTTGACACCCTGGTTGTCTGGAAATGAAAGCTGGCCCCGTTCACAGTGATCATCTTACAGCTAAAGCATGATCTAATTTTGTAAACAATAACAACAACAACAAAAAATACAAAAAGCCCCAGATTCTCTGTACCGCACAGGCGGCAAACACAAGGCCCTTGGGCTGAATCTGGCCCTCCACCTTGTTTTATCCCGCCCAGCACCTTGTTTCTACCAGGTGGCAGCACTGAGCTCTCGCTTAACTGTTAAGGAGCAGTTACACTTATACAGTCCTGAAATCACATTCGGCCCTTTGAAGGCAACTGCGAGGCTAATGTGTCCCATGGTGAACGTGAGTTTGACACCTGTGCTGTATAGTGAGGTTATGAGGTTGAAGGTTGGAGAGGACTTTCAAGCCAGACTGCCTGAGACCAAACCTCGGTTCCGATATTAGAGTGGGTTAAATGATGGACCCCCCCCCCACCAAAAAGACAGGGGTGCCCACATGGAACCTGTGAATGTGAACTTCTTTGGAAAAAGGTCTTTCCAGTTGAAATTAAGTTAAAGATCTTAACTTATCTTAAGATCTTTAAGATCTTAATTAGTTAAGTATTGAGATCAGTATTTACCTTTATGATTGTGCTTCTCTGTGTTTTACAAATTATGTACAAGGAACATACATCAGTTTTGTAACCAAAAAGCATCTGTGAGTTTTAAATGATCATTTTGTTTATAGCCGTAAAAGGCTGCATACCTGTGAGTTCCTCTTTAGGTAAAAAGATGGTGCTAGGTTTTGCAGTGATGGTATAATTAAATGTGTTCACTAGCAGGAATCACAGTGCTGAAGAAATAGCAGTGTGATTATTAGTACCTGAGAACTACCGTGCACAAATTGCTACAGGTAACCTACCTACTTTTGCAAGTTGAGAAGCTCTGACAAATTGTTTCCTGTCGCCCAGCACAGGGAAGCCCGATTCCTTGATGTATGTGCTTCTCCTTCCACACCGATACAATAACAACTGGGACTTCCAGATTTCATACCATAGTCTGAAACAAATTCACACACTGTCTACTCTTCAGCTATCCAGCTATTTTCACTATGGGCACTCCACAGTACTCTAGTTTAATTAATACATTTCTTTCATGAAGAACACTATTTTTGTCATCAAGTACTTAGCCTGACCCAACCACACTTGAATTAAGGATTATTAAGGATGAGAATCTAACACAACATAAAGTAAGGACAACATGAGGGAAGTGGGGGGTAAAACTGAAGAAGGTGGGTTTGGCTGCCTGAGGTGGAGAAAACCAAACCTGAGACACAGGTGCTGGTGCAAAAGGAAAAAAGGTTTATTCAAGTGCTGACCTGGTAAATGGTGGACTCCCATCCCAAAGAGCCTCTCCCTTCCCTGCTGAAACCCGAGGTTCTTATAGGGATAGAAAGAGGACAGCTTTCTTTCTCTATCCAATCATCCTGCTGCCTTTTGGCTGCTGGGGGCCTCTCCATTCATCTCTCTAGCCATTGGCATGCTAGATAATGGGGGGAGACTCCCTGGATAGTGGGGGAGGCTCCCTGGTGCTCCCTGCCTACCCGAACAGAGGAGGGTGTTGAGCAGCAATCACGAGTGGGCCAAAAGGCACCGATGCCCACCAGCTCTGCAAGGACAGGAAAACAGGAAGCATTTTATCCTCCGGAAAGTTGCCTCCCTGGCCCAACATAGGTAGGTGGGTGGCAAATACTTTTAATAATCATTGTGCTAAATACAAAATCTGTGAATTACTGTTATCAGCAGGTATTTACTGTCACCTGAAGTAGGCTGCGCTTTACCATAGCGGAAACTGAGGGACTGCCAAGCTAATATTCTCATTCACAATCACCCTACAAATGAGTTGCAAGACGGCTTAAAATCCTTCCCTACCTCTGGCAGGTGAGGGGAGGGGCTGCCAGCTGTTTCCTTTGTCAAGCAGGGTCACCATGTGGTTGCTGTGATGCTGGCAAGGTCTCCCAGCATCGCTTCTGCATTTTGAACCTTCTCTGAATTCTCGTCGGGACTTCCCACTCCGTTCTCCTGTTCCCCTGCTAGAACACCACGCCCTTTCTTCAGCTCGGGCTTCTCTCCACCTCAGGTCTCTTGTGACCAAGGATCAGTTCCACACATTTCCTTGTCCCTGACTGTTCCTACGAAGATTTTTATCTAGTATTTTCCCCCCAAGTACTTGTAGACATTACAGACAGATTTTAAGATAAATAAATACAGGGGAGAAGGAAGGGAAGAACAGGTAGAGACAGAGCAAACAGCTTTACAGCGCTGTGGTGGTACTGAGGCATGAGACCTGGTGCCCTTTCCCAAGTTCACTGCCCACGGCTCATATCTGATCTCCAAGGAGTTGGCCTTGTCAGTCTGTGCCTTCCCCAGCACCCCCCCACTTCCTCTGTACATTCCCTGGGTCCCCTGCCACGTTCCTAACTCCTCTTCCCTTAGGCAGAGAGACTGTGCAGACCCAAACTGAGTTCCCAAAGGCCTGACAAGATCTGTTCCACCTGGGAAGAAACCTCCCCTGTCCAGCCATCTGTCATTCCTCCTCTTTGTCCTACCAACTCTGCCCTCTGCTGCCCCATCTCCTTCTTCGTTCTCCCTTCTTTTTCAGTCTTCTAAACGTAAATGTGTTCATGAATTCTCAAGCTTCCTCGAGACCTTCCTGCTAAGTCTGTGTCTCTCAAAACTTTATGTCTAGACTTGACTTCACTCCTGAGCTCTAGGCCTCCACATCCAGCCCACTGCTGTATATTTCTACTGTTTTCCGGTAGCAATTTAAATAAAATATACACAAACACTTAACTCACTATTCATTCTCCTGACCTTGGCTTGTGCCTCCCAAGTTCTCGCTATTGACTAAAGTATCAACACCCTCCTACAGACCGAAATGGAAACTGCCAAGTCATCTTGGACCTGTGCACCCTTGTACCGCACACTCTTAAGGTTCGCTTTAGTCAGTCTTGATACGATCTTCTGCACCTGCTTTCTACCTTCTGTTTCTTTCCAGCATCCCAATTCTAGCTCTCCTCTGTGGGCCACTATGACAGTCCGTTAACTGTTCTTCCCACCCCTCGCCCCATATAATAGAGCTCACCCATGGCTTCCAGACTCACTTCCTAACTAAGGACCGATCCCATTCATTTGGTATCAGAGACCACTAGGATTTAGCTTCTAATCCATTCTTTCACTTTCCAACCTTTTTCTATATGTACTGTTAACAACTTAAACAAGGAGCCCATTAGACTGAGGGGGCTCCGGCATGTTGGGAGCCTACAGGAGCAGACCAAAACCTAAACCCAAGTCAGGGCACTCGAATCTGAGAAAGTGCCATTTAAGAACAACCAGTCAGGAACAGCCAAGCAGGCTTTCCCAGATGAGGCAACTGCAGTGCTTCAACCAGTCAAATACTCTCTTCCCCTTGTTTCAGTGTCTTCCCTATAAAAACCTTTCTCCTAGGATCTGTTAGTGGCGTACTCCTGACCACCTCTGGTTTGATGCTGCCTGATTTGAATTGATGTTTGCTCAAATAAACCCTTGAAAATTTTAGTGTGCATCAGTTTACCTTCTAACAGCAACCTATACTCTTGACTGCTGAAGCCACTCAAAATTCCTCCTGTGAGGCCTGCAATTTTTGGCTTCTGTGCCTTTACTGATGCTATTCTTTCAGCCTGAAATGCCTCTTTCTCCAAGCTTTCAATATGCAAATCCTTCCTGTCTTTAAAAGTCAACACTTTGAAGATTCCCAACATGAGCAGCAAACGAGCAACCTGCCCACTGACCCATCTGTACCATTTTTATCTGTGCCTCTCTTATGACTCATGGCATTCAAGCTTGTGTTATGTCCCCATTAGACACACCTGGCAGGGAAAGGCCCTCCATCTGATTCCTCCCTGAGTCTCCCACAGCACCCTGTGCTGCTGTGCCCTGCCCGGGCAGGGAGGTATCTGCCAACAACTACCCCCCTACCTCTGCCTATCAGTCCTCTGCTAAGGACCATAAGAAATGCATAAGAAGACCAACAACTTACTTTCTGCTCTCCAGGAGCTGACAGCCCACTCATAAAGATGAGGCTAATATATACTAATTAATAAAAAGCAATGGAAGATAAAGAACAGAACTACTGAGAATATATACTATGCACACTCTAAGAAGTCAGAAGAGAGGTTTCTTTTTGTGAAACTAAATTGGATCTTAGGAATAGGTTTATTTTGGATGGGAGTTCCAGGTGAAGGGAGTACTAAGGTTAGGACAGGAAAAGGCATGGGGAGAAGTGGCCCTCACGCTCACATCCCTGCTCATGCTAGGATCTGGGTTAATGCCTTGCCGGCGTTATTTTATTTGATCCATACAATAATCCTGCAAAGCAGATAGTATCATTGCCAGTTTCATGAGCAAGATGGCTAAGGCTTGAGGGGATTAAGCAAGTAATGGACCAAGGTAATACAGAATCTAAACAAGGCAGCCAGCCAGCTTCTTCCACGGCACCGTGCTGACCCCTCTAGAACAGAACATCCATATCACCAGGGTGTTTTCTTCAGGAAGGGGGACTCTTTGGATTGTTGAGTAATTCAAGTGGTAATGCAATATGCACAATGCGGAGTATATGTGGGGCTCAATACAAGTCAGCTGACTCAAGTCTGTTCATTTAGAAAGAGAAGCAAGAAGGCTCATCAACCACGTGTGCGTGCTCTGGGGCGAAATCATGGCAGAAGGCAGCCCTGGAACTGGGGAGTATCTCCAGACCAACAGGAAGGACAAAAAAGTGACAAAGATGAAAGAGTTTGGATTAATAACACCCACTCAGTCTACATCAGATGCAAAGGAAGAGAAACTACCCAAATGAACATAGCTTTGTTGTAATGAACATCCCTTTCACAGGTGATGCATAAAGAGACAGCGGTGGAAGCAAACATACTTGGTCTCGTTGGCACACCGGATCTTGCAGCCTTCCTTGGGAATCACCAAGCCCAGGTGCATTCGGAGCCTGCAGTTCGTGGGCCCCGTGTGCGGCCACACGTGAGTTCCTGGATGCATGATGGAATATTTGATCTGTGCAAAAAATATAACAAGCAAAATATAACCAAAGAAACTGAAATAGAGAACAGGCTGACAGGGACCAGAGGGGAGAGGTGGCGAATTTCAGGGGAAAAGGGGAAGGGTTTACAGGAACAAGTATAAAGGACACATGGACAAAAACTGGGGGGGGGAAGTGGGTAGAAATAGGAGGGAGGTGGGGAGGGGTAGGTGGGTGGGCTGGGATGGGAGTGAAAGACAGAAAACTGTACCTGAACAACAATTAAAATAAAATTTTTAAAAAAGAGGAAAAATATAACACACCATTCTTCCATTTATCAAGGTGTGGGGGAATTGCTAAATTAAAGTGACAGTACCAAATTACTGTCACTTTGGATTAGAGCCTTTGTAAGACTCAAAATTAATACTCTCCTCTTACTCCTTTGTGAAGGAACTAAAAATAAGTACACCCATTTTCCACAAAGCTATACACACTGAACATTTTTCACCCTCAACTCTGACATCAACCACATTGAATTCTTTCATTAAAAGAGAGTAGAACGGAGGCATTCGTTGGGCCGAAGGAAATAAATACTTCTTTGTAACCATCAGCACTCCCTTATTGCTAGTAAGCAATTGTGTTCTTCCCGGCACGGAAAACACTCCAGGTACCTGTCCTCTTCTGCATCCTGTTGTCTCAGGGAATTTATCTAGTAAAGAACAGGTTTTAGGAGCTCCTTTACAGGCATTCTCATTTTTTCTCCCTAGAACAATAAATGAGAAGAGCATTGTTAAAAACAAATTACAGTAAAGCATTAACTCATCCTGTTTGACTAATGTGATCTACATTGTTACCCTCATTGTAGGACAGGGGACACCTGCATACACACAAGAGGACAATGTGTTTTGCTCCAATAGATAATGACTTGCAGAGGAAAGACTAGAATTCGTCACTCCCTGGTGCACTATTTGACTCAGGCTGTCTAAGGACAAGGCCTGGGTTGAATACTTATTTTCCCCACTGTGGCAGGCCGAATACTGGCTCTCTCCCAAGGATGTCCACACTGTCAGCTGAGGGACCCAGCATGTTATGCTGCACAGAAAGGGGAGATAAAGGTTGCAGGTGGCATTGAGAGTTCTAATCAGCAAACCCTGAAATAGAGAGATTATCCTATTAACTAAAGAGAGATCAACTAAAAGGCCCCTTAAACGTGGAAGAGAGAGGCAGAAGAGTCAGGATCCGAGTGATACAGAATGAGAAAGACTTGACTGGCTGTGGCTGACTCTGACGACAGGAAGGGACTACAAGCCAAGGAATGTGAGCAGACTCCAGAAGCTGAAGGCTCCAGAAAGAATGCGGCCCTGATGACATTTCGGTTCGAGCTCAGTGAGACCCACTGTAGACTGCTGACCTGCAGAATTCTAAGGATAGTAAATTCATGTTATGTTAAACTGCCAGATTTGTGGTAATTTGTTACAGCAGCCACAGTAAACGAATACACTTGCCACCCAAGAAAAGCAGCTTATATTTCTAACCTAAAAATGTATTTCCAGGACTATACCAAAGAGTGACTGCAACGATATTCTGAATTGGAGTTTAATGTATTTTTCATTGTAGAGATTGTCCTTTATGTGGGGATAAAGAATAGGATTTAAGTGAAGATGTGAGGAGGTCTTTGAGAGACGATGTTTTCTATGAGTCACTGTGTGAGAAACAGATTTTGGGACATGGTCTAGGCATCCTAGACTATGTAAATTTCTTCACCATCTACGAAAATTGCAATTCCTCGGGGAAAATGTGCCCAGGAATGCACGCAGTATCTCTTGGCCTCATGAAGGAGTAAAACATTAGAATTTTTAAAAGTTAGGAACATTTTAATTCCCTATTCAAGATTCCTACAAAGAAATGCTACGTCTAAAGCTGAGTTTAATTTCATTCATGTTAGTTGTGTCCTAGGTAATAATGTACTGAGAATGAGTTATAAGAAATGCAATGTAAAGGTATTCTTCTTAACCAAATGAACCTCAATGCTTTAGAAAACAGCTTCTATATCTATATTAGCTTTTTCTAAGTATTGGTTTTACTTCTTAATTGAGTAACTTGTTAGTTGCTCTTTTTAGTTATTCATGGAGTACACTAAATGAGCTGAATAAAAATGCCAGTTTGAATAAATAGAGTCCCTTATAAGTCATCATAAAGCATGTTCAAGCCCTGGCTTTCCTTGCCTTCCCACATGCAGGATCTGGGGACAGCCTGGCAGGACTCCCAAATTCTGGGTTCTGAGCTATGGAGGCAGTGCTTAAGTGAAGCCTGGTAGTTTATGGAGCAACCAGAGGTGGCTAGACTTCTGATGGGCACAACGGAGAGGGCTTAGCCCATGCTCCATGGAGAACAGGTGTGTCTTACCTGAATGAAAGGGTAATGAAAGGGTAACTTAATGAAAGTGTCTTTAGAACTGCCAGTAGGTCAGGACTGGATTAGACAGCACCTCCAGCCACATAACTCTTTTCTAGTCTGTAAACAGATTCTCTGTGGGGGGTGGGGAGGCCAGCTCTTTACCAGATGCTTGACATTTGTGGATTGCCATGGATTGTTTTAACTATTTACATGACAGCATGAGGGCAGAATGCAACATCAGCTCTGTAGTGCTCACCAGGCACCAGGAACCACCCCCCATGCTTAGAATGATTCATTCGATGTGCACACCGCCTGGTGAGAGAGGCACTATTAGGGGTTGCATTCTGCAGAAGAGGGACCACCACACAGTAAGTGGCAGAGCAGAAATTCCAGCCCAGCTGAACTGAGGGTCCATATTTTAACCATGGCCTAAGACTGCCTCTCCACTACTGTTATTATTACATAACATATGATTACTATATACTACAAATAGTATCACTGTCACTTATTGAATAAGTGTGTGTTGGACCTTTCACGAGAGCCATTGATCCTCACAACAAACCCATACCTCAGGCACTATTTTCATTGCCATCTTTCTAACGAGCAAGCTGAGGCTCAGAGACTCTGGAATGCGCCACCACCCAGCAAACCAAGGTGCCAGGAGCCCTCCAGCCCAGGACTGCTGGTCTACCAAGCCTATGCTTTAAAGCACAATTTAACATTTCATGGCATGATGAGTTAGAAGGCAGCTGTGTGCAGCAAAGTCCTCAGCTGAAGAGGAAACTGCCCGGCAGGTGAACACAGTGTGGCTTTGTTGTTGTTTTATTACTTCTCCCAAAATGGAAAGTAACTCTCATGTGATAAGTTTTGTTTCTTTGGGAAAACGGCCCTAGAAAGAGATCTAACTGCTCATGCTGGTCTGAAAGAATCAAACCCATTTTTTCATTTATACATGAATACACTTTATGAGAAATTCATGGAGTTGGGATTTTGTCCATGAAGAATTTTCCCAGTGAAAAACACATGCCTCTGATATATGTGCACACGTATACACACTTCTAATTATTTTAGATCAAAATGGAAACCAAGATAGAAAAGAAGTCTTTGCTTTTTTTGAAAGAACGTAAGTGGAAACAGCATACACTAGAGCTTATGGAATGCATCCAAACCATATCCAGATACTGGTCCGTAGTCCTAAGTGCTTTTGTTAATGAAAAAGAAAGAATGAAATAAATTTATTAAGGTGTTCCAATTGAAAAGTTTAAAAGAATAATAAACATTTTAAATAGGAACAGGAGGAACAAAAATATAAAATCAGGAATTAGATCAAGTAAGAGTTTTTGAGGTTTTTAATAACATAAGAGATCACTCTGTCAAACTTCAGAACAAAAATGTGCAAATTCCATTGAACTGGAAAAAGGACTTAACAATACCATGAAAGTAAAAACTATTGTATGAAACAACTCTTAACAATTCATGGAGTGCTAAGAAGGACCCTATTTTTAAAAAGTGATTGTTCATCACTGGTATCTATATCAATTTTGATGATCCTTTTATATCTATTGCCTCCTAGACTTACAAACTTACAGCTGTCTTACTACTAAGTCCATGTTTTGATTTGGGCTTTTCAGTGATTATTTCCAAAGTGATACATGCTAATTATAGAAAATGAGAAAGTAAAAAATAATTCATGGAAAATAGGTATAATCAAAATGTGAAAATCAGTAAAACAACCAATACTGCATGATTCCACTTACATGAAGTATCTATAGTGGTCAAATGCATTGGAACAGAAAGTGAAATTGTGTTTCCCAAGGGCTAAGGGGAGGGAGAATGAGGAGCTGTTAATGAGTATAGAGGTTCAGTTTTGCAAGATAAAATTTCAAAGATTGGTTGCACGACAGTACGACTATACTTAGCATGATCAAATATACACTTATAAGTGTGTAAGATTACGATGGTAAATTGTAGGTTATGTGCCACAATTAAAAATTGTTTTAAAATACACAAAAACTGAGTCAAAATGTTGCCTCCAACTGAAATGTCTCATTCTTTTCCTTCTTGCTTAATGTTTTTATAGGTCCTCTGCTTTGCCTGTTTCAACTTTATCAGGCACCCATTTTTAGCAGAGACTGGTTTCAGAAAGTACTGCCAGGATTCATGCTATTCTGAAGCATTGTTCTAGAAAGCCTGATAACTTCAATGAAGTACAAGAATGTTCAAGGAATTGAGGCATCAGATGAACTGGTCGATGTTTAAGGCCTATACAATTGACTCGCTTTAGTGATATGTGAGTGGATAAAACTATTCACATTTTGACCTTACTGCTCCATTTAAAGAAATCTTGTTGGCAAAAAGCTGCCAAAATCACCTGAAATCATGTGTTTTCTCTTCCGAGAGATGTTTCCTTAAAAATGTCACTGAAGTAGTTCTTTCTCTTACGTGGAAAGAATTCTGAAAGCATAACTGTGATAGATGATTGTGCTTATTTATCCTTTAATATAAACCAACTACTTATCCTCCTCTCAATTCACTTTGTGTGCTAAGGCTGTGCAGTGCATGCTGTTCAGTCCTCAAAGGGGATCTGCTTTTTTGTACAGCTATTGTTAACCCAGCCTAACTTGAATTTTCAAGAACAGAAGTAGAAAGAGATTTGAAGATAAAATTCAGTGCTGTTCATTTCAAGAGTTGATTGATATATTAATTCACTGAACACACACACATATTGGAGCCCTATGTGCCTTCATCACTCAGGGAATGTGAAGGTGAATATGAACTACCACCTAATCTTGAAGAGCTCAGGTCACAGCCGTTGTCTTGTCACTTGGGTGTCTTATCAGCTCTAAGGACTCTTACCCAGGATGCTATCTATCACTTTGTCTTGCAAGCTTATCTCTACTTCACAGGAGTAATGAGGCTCAGGGAAGCTGCTTTCTAAGGTGCTGGTGAGCACATGGCAGACTTTGCAGTTAGGCCAACACAGTAGAGTTACTCTTTGTAACTTATTTAACAGAAAAGATCAGGACAATCAAAATACTACTATGTATGTTTACGTAAATACATATGTGAGTATACACACCCATGCATGCACACATCTGTTTACTTGTATACACACAAATAAGTGTTCACATGTAGTTTTGAAAAACAATGAATGGCATTGGATACTAGTGTTTTCTGGGCAGTTTCCTATACATTGGGGAACCCTGGCTCTGGGAAGTGCCACCAGACTAGGGCCCACTTCCCATCAATGACTAGCTGTGGAGAACAACCTGGAAGTCAGGAGCTCACCTTGCTGCCACAGGGTGAACTGGCTCCAGTCTCCCTTCTCCCTCAGGTTTTCATCTTCAGGCAGGAAGAGGCCTTTGGTTTTATCCATCACGGCAACGCCTTCATCACGGATCAACTTCCAGTTTCTTTCTAAGGACTAGAGGGAAGATTCTGGTTTTACTGGGCTGGAAATATGCCAGACAGAACATCTTATAATGACTGCCAGCTCTTCGTTTGTCTGAGTTGTCAAGTAACGAAACTTGGCTCTCATCTAGTCTGCTGATTTCAACATCCTCAGAGACTTCTTGTCAAGGATCAGAAACAGACAAAAACCCAACCAAATGTTTCTTCCCACTAAATGCTTTTGCAGCATAAATTACTTCAATAATTCCTAGGAACCTCGGAGAATAACCCCCCTCAAAATTTGTTTTTGGTTTGCCTAAAGGTTTGTTGTTTTAAAGACCACACATTAACCAGGGTACCAATTTTGTTGAGCATACTGCATTATTAGTGCGCTACAGTAAGTGCCATGTGATGCCATAGCTTCCAGACTGAAAGACAAACCACGGACTTAATTTCACCTTTCAACACAAGTCTTCATGCTGATGCCATTCAACATGGTAAATATTAATTAAACTTTAAAGACATCAGAAAAGTGTCCACTGGAGCATTTGACAGAAAAGTGTCCACTGGAGCATTTTGCGGTTATAAAATTAAAAGCAAAAATGAACGGAAATGCCCAGAGAATCAGTGAGGTGCCAGGAAGATGGCGCAGGTAGAGGACTCTGTGGAAGACAGACAACCCGAGATTTGTATGAAAATGCAGTTTCAACTTCGGCCAAACTGAGGGAGTATTTCTTACATTGTGTGAAAACAGGCTTATTAAAATATTCTAAGGCAAGAGATAGATTTTAAGATTGGATATTGATGTTTGTTCTTATTTTCCCCTCATTTCTTTGAGTCTACTGGTTTATTTCTTTTTGAAATTTCAGCTTTATTGAGATATAGTTGACAGAAAACTGCAATATGTCTAAAGCGTATATTGTGGTGATTTGATACACATATACATCGTGAAAGGAATTCCCTCCATGTGATTAATACATCCATTGCTTCACATATTTACAAACTGTTTTTAGTAAATTTCAATGACTCAATACAGTGTTATCAATGACAGTCACCATGTTTTACATTAGATTTTCAGAATTAATTCATCTTATAGCTGAAGGTTTGTACCTCTAACATCCTCTCCCGGTCCGCCCAACCCCCAGTCCCTGGCAACCACTTTTCTACTCTGTGTCTATGAGCTTGACTTTAAAAAAAAAATATTCCACATATAAGGGATACCATTCAGTGTTTGTTTTTCTCTGGCTTACTTCACTTAGTGTAACGCCCTCTAGGCCCACTCATCTGTTCTTACGAACGGCAGTATTTTCTCCTTTCTCATAAATACGTCACATCATCCTAACTCGTTCGTCCACTGGTGAGCACTCAGGTTGTGCCCGAATCTCGGCTGTTGTGGATGCTGCTGCGGTGAACACGGGGTGCAGATGTAGCTCTTCGATGTCCTGTTTTCATCTCCTCTGCGCATGCGCCCAAAAGTGGGATTGCTGGGGCATCCGGCAGTTCTGTGTTGAATATTTTTGAGAAACCTCCATACTGTTTACCGTAGTGGTGGCACCAGACTTACTGATGTTCTACTTGTGTTTCCGTGAAACCCACCCACTGAGCTGTGTCGGATCTACAGTGGCTGCCATCATGCCCTTGCTTTATGCTGGTCTCCTGCCCCTAAGCAATCACAGAACCCCTTCATCCCAAAGAGGCAATTCGTAAACAGCAAGATTTAATTTCAGTAAAAAGGTACTCAGAAGCCCTCACTTTAGCAGGTCCTCAGAGTGACAGAATATGGTGGTTTTCTCAGGGGTGCCAGGATCCTGGAAAGGGAAAAAAGGTGCCCCCGATATTCACGTCTCCTATGAAACACACAGCCCAGCAGCACTTAACTTGCAGGCAGTGTAACTTGTTCAAGTTGCGAGGTAAATCTGTTAGGTTCTTGTTAAACTGTCACACAGATGGGTGGAGAATTACCTTTCTAACACATATAATTACTTTCCAAACGAGGTTACTGGCACCTCACAGGCGGGCTCTTCCGCCTCTCCCGCTCGGTATTTGAGAAGTTTCTTTCACTGCTTTTGAAAGTGAATTTTAGAGGCATCTTTGGAAGGAGCTGATCTTTTGTTACTAAAATAGGGCACAAAGCCCTCAAGGAAAGGTTAAAGTAATTGCATTACTAAATAAAATTTTAAAAATTTTACTTAAGAGCAAGCAGCTTTTACATGTGAAATGTCATTCCCGTCTCCTGTCCCCTCCTCTCCGGGCCTCCGAGGGAAGGATGGCTGCAGTACCTTCCCATGAGCGGTGGTGATTTTTAAAAAGCGTTTTCCATCTGTTATTACACACAGCACACGGGGGCCGATGACGGACTCAAAGGAGCGGATGGCAACAGAAGGTTCTCCCCTGTCCTCAACTTGAAACACCTTTGCTATAAGGTCACAAACCTGCCTAAAACTAACCAAGCACTGCACAGATTTCTAGATTATTTTCATTATAAGGTAGTCACTCATCCTGTTCTCTTTTAGGTTCAATACCCTGTCATAGACTTTCACGACTGGAAGGATCCATATCGTTAATCTAGTGGAAACTGCTTCACTTCAGGGATGACGGGATAACGCTCGGAGTGCGCCACGGGCCTAACACCTCGCAGTCACCTGGCCAGAAACTGCTCTGCAGCTTCTGGCCCCTCCCACCGATTGTTTCCAAGGCACCCACGGGAGGGGAGAGGGTGAGGCTGCGGTGCGCCCTGGGGCCCCTGCTCCCCTCAGGGGCGTGAGAGTGATTGATGGCTCCCACGGTGCAGCGCAGTGATTCGCTGGCACAGGTTAGGCTGAGGTCCTCGCACAGGTGGTCCTGGGAGAACACAGCGCTCTCCACTGGGCACTGCGCATGCCTGAGGGAGCTCACACTCACGACAGCTGGGGACAGCTGAGCTAACCAAAAAAGCACACCGATCAAACCCGATGAAATAATAAACAACACAGAGACACCGACAATCATGATCTCCTCCACGGTCAATGCAGACTTTTCTTCTACCAAAGTACTGACAGCACTTGGACAGCAATTTTGTACTGGTGCGCCAACGAGAACGTTTAAAAGATGCAATGCCTGGCTGTTTAGTCAGGGGCACTGACCTCTTCCCTCTTAGATTGTCAAATAAAAAAATGACAACAGCCAACACAATAGCTGTCCGGTGTGAATGAATCAAAACTACACCTTTTTTTGTTTTGTCAGATCGGCAAAAATGTATCTTTTCATGTGCTGCAGAATTTAGCAATTAGTTTACGTGTGCCCTGAGGTGAAAAAGGCTGAAAACCACCGCACTAGGGGATGATTTTCAACTCTGGAAAGACAGGCAGGTTTCTTTTATAGGCATTAGGGAGAAATCTGAGCTGGGACCTGGAAATGGTACTTTTAACACAAACCAAGAAACCACATTGTATAAAATTCACATAGTTATAGGGGATTAATTACATGCAGGGTGTGTGTGCATGAGAGCGAGCGAGAATAAGAGGTTATGAATTTTCCCTATTGTAATATTATTCACTTTTCTGAGGTGGCAAAGATTTCCATTATTTAGGAAATTCCAACAGGAACTTGAAGGCTCACACAGAGTCAGCCATGGTTATACTTTTAGGGTCTCACATGAAAGATTACTTCCTTGACTCTAAATTCATCCGTTTCGTGAAACTGCAAAGAGAAACCGATAGGTTTGTCATTTGAGTTGGTGGCCCAGAACACAATGCTCCTACATCACATTTCTTCTCGTGGCTACACAGACTTTAGAAAACAGAGCTTTGATTGTTTTTACAGGGCCACATGGCTTCATAAAGCCATCATCGGCACTGGCCCGTTGAGTTACACCTCTGCTGGATCTGGCACTCCGGTCCTCTACAGATGGATTTCCTAGTCTGATGCCTCATTAGTCCCATAATACGCTCCAATTCTTTCATCCAAACCGTCCCTCCAATTCAGGGATCCCTCTTTACTTTGCCAATATTCTGCTCATCCCCCTTGAATGGTGTGTGTTTCTTCACCATTAAATTAGATGAAAGGCAACTTTTAAAGCTTTCTCCTAAAACTAATTTTTGTTGAAAGTCTTCAGAGAAGCAAACTGAAGCCAAACTAATCCTTATTTAACTATTTTCGTCTGATTAAAAAATACACTTTTTTTCCCTAGTAGGTTTTCTGGTTCTCACCAGAAGTCCTTCCCCCTCACCACACACACGAAAAACATCTATTTTTAAGAAGTCCAATATGACTACAGGTCTTATAACGGAAGCAGCAGTCTCTTACTCAGCTCTTTCCCAACCCTGAGTTCAACCCCAGCTATTCCCTTTAGCAAGTTAGCAACAGTCTTCTTTTCTCTCATCCATCATGTGATACAAAGTCACACATCGCTCCTACATCTGGGTACATCCACATTCAGGTTTTACAATATGATGACAATGAGGTATCATTCCTACTCGAGTTGTAACATTGCACTTCATTTCACAGGCAGCACTTCTTTAAATTTAAGTCCTGCCCCCTTTTCTTTGGCTTAATTTTCCAATGCCCTTACCATTGTTTCATCCTTTCAGCACAGAAGGGGGGTTAGAACATCTTGGTACTGTTCTCCCCTGTGCCAAAAACATCACAGAAGCTATTACTTTTCTTTCTCTCCTTTTCTGTAGAAAGCCCTTCCGCAGCCATCTGCTTGCTTCATCTGAACAGTTTGCTGCCTGGGCTTGCTGGACAGCTGTCCTTGGCCTCTGCTGGGGTCGGGGCTCCCTAGCTATCAAATTCTAGTTGTTCCCGAGAAAGAATACACCACAGATAAGATTGAATTTCTAAACATTTCTGAAGCTATTCATATACTTGATTGAAGGCCTGGCCATGTACAGAATTCTAGGGAGGTAAATAAATTCTTTTTAGAATTTTGAGAGCATTGCTCCATTGAATTATAACTTTAGTGTTGCTGTTCGGAAATCTGATATGTCTGTCACCCTCCACCGCCCCCCGCCCTGTTTTGGTCTCTCTAGAGGTTTAATCCAAGTCAGTATGTGT